TTTTTAAAAACAACCTCAAATTACATTGAAATAAAACTCGCTATTAGATATCCCAATAACATGACAGTAGCTGCCGCACCAATTTTGTCACAGATGATCCTTGGTTTTGATTGGCTAAGAGCGATGATCAAAAATTTAGGCCGAAATTTTACTAATGAAACCACAGCTGCACATTAAGTAAAAAATATTCCTGGGCTAATTTTGTCCTATTTCTCTAAAAATTTCCATTTTAAAAATGAAAAAGTTAAAAAGTTAATTCCAGCCAAAATTATGTAATGCGAGCCCAATCCGTGACAAATTTGGTGCGGCAGCTAGGTTCAATGTTATCCCTACATACATTGATCATTGTGTAACCTAAACGCACTGCAACAGTGCGATGCGAACACTTGTTATAGTATGGCATCATGCCATATGGCATTGAAAATCATAATTGCTGCATGAATGTCGATAGCGTAAATAGTAAAACATATAAAATTCAAATTGTAATAACTCTTGAACCAGCAGACTCGCACAAATAAAATTATATCTATTGGGTTCGTTTTAACGTGCTCTTTAAAGTAACAACGCTTGTTTTTTTTTTAGCTTCATTGTTTGGAGAATAGCGAAGGACTCTAAGTGATACCAAAATTCTCGTTTTTGATGCATTTCTAATAGAAATATCAAAAACGTAACTTTGAATTTTCTGTCTGTCACAATCTACATAGAAAATTCAAAGTAACGTTTTTGATATTTTTATTAAAAATGCATCAAAAACGAGAATTTTGGTATCACTTAGAGTCCTTCGCTATTCTCCAAACAATGAAGCTAAAAAAAAAACAAGCGTTGTTACTTTAAAGAGCACGTTAAAACGAACCCAATAGATATGTGCGAGTCTGCCGGTTCAATAGTTATTACAATTTGAATTTTATATTTACGACTACAGGACTAATGTGATCATCACTATCCTGTTTGAAATAGACTTGCATCATACACCCCAATATGGCATGCCATATTTTTTTAGCGTGCCATTTAACCCTACATATAACGCACCTTATGATTTTAATATATAAAAATTCGTGTAACCTTAATGCACTTCGGTCATGCGCGTTTTTTACTGAACTCCAAGCACGTTACCGGAAATAAGCAACCCTCAACTTTTTTCTCCAACAGCACCAGCTGAGACACTCAACTATTGTTCTTACCCTCGTACGCCTTATACATGGGTGTCGAAAATTATGGATGATTTATGGCAGACAGTATGGCGAAATGGTTTAATATTTTCGCCTTTGCACTCCAAAATGGCGTATTACAAAATTATTTTCGTCTGTAGTGATTATTGACTGTTGAACTGTCAAAAATATTAGATACTGTCGAAATGATTTATGGCAGCCATTATTAGGATCGTGAAATGTAAAATTCAGAAATAATCCGAAGGAAAATGAACGAACACAAAAGACGAGCAAGGGCCCATTTGATGGTTGGCTAATGTAAATCCATTGCCCAGATAACTTATTTTAACTTTTTGATAACGCAACGTTTCACTAATAAAAATAGAAAGTTTATCTTCGCAAAAGCGTGAATATTCATGGTACAAAATAATAGAGAAAAGATCGGGAACCTGAAGAACTTCGCTTGGAAAACAAAATGTACCTACCGTTGATTGGATCGTATCAAATTATATCTTTAGTAGTAGAAGATCTGGGCGAACGTTTAAATTTGTGTTTGGGTTTGTCAATTGTAAAAGTTCTTTAATGAGTTTGGGCTTATTAGTAATAAATATAACATTTACCCACTTTATGCGTGTCTATCGATTCTCTAGATATATGTGATAAATACTTTTCGTTTTTTAGTATGTGATAAAATTTAAAAATTATGTATTTTGATTGGTTAATTATCACGGGAAATCAACGACAGATCTACAAAAAATACGTATTTTCATATCTTCATATCTTCGGCATACTAAAGTATTCTCGACATATCGATACTAAATTATTTGCGATTTTGAGTGTCAAAAATTATTTTCGTCATTTAAATTTACGCCAAGAGCAAAATATTTTCAACACCCATGTATAGTGCGCCTGATATTCCGGAACTACTAAGATATTTACAGAAGCCTGGTAAGTTCTTTCCGATCTGTTGTAATAAAGCAACTTCAAATTTATTTGCATAATAGTGTAATAAGGATAGAAATTCCGAAACTATATTAAAGCTTTCTGGTTTAACATATATTTTAGATGCTATTTTTGAACCAAACATTGTAGAGATAGTGTCAACTCTAGTTAGCGAGTCTGTAGAAAATATTGGTCAAATCTTTGGTTCCCTCTGCCATAGTTATACGGGAGAGCCTTCAAAAATTCAACTATTAAGTGACCTTTATGATGAATTTGTGAGCTCAGATACTCAGCCTAAAGCCGACTTAGTAAACCAAGATGCGTTGATGAATATACTTCTTGACAAATATGAAATTGTAAAAATCGATGAAGTAGTAAAATGCAATGTAAGTTATCATGAATTATCGACAATAACTTTTCGTAAAGACAATAATAAATAAATTGTGGTCTTTATTGCAATTATTAGTTTCAGGCTTTAAACCCTTCATTGCGACTAATTCAAATCCCGTATTGGCGAAAAGCCTTATACGCTTTGTCAGAAAAATATCCAGAAAGCCAGTTTTTAAATTTTTTAATTCAGGTAATACTTTTTCTCTGTTTAATTGTTACATTTAATTTTATCAGATATTTTATTATCATAATTCTGCAGAAAATTGCAGATGCAAACCATATCGACGAAATAAAACATCTTAAATCAGCGTCAACGAATATCGATGTGTATTCTAAAGTTTTGTTGGATCAATTTGATAACCTAATCACACAAGATGAGGCTGGAGTATCACAAAGTATTCCAGATTTAATCGTCAGTATATTCACCAATTCTCTTCGGCTCAAACTATGTGCTGCTTTTTGGATTCTAAACCAATTTAAATTATGTGCTTACATATAAATTAGAAAACTGCTGTGCAGCATCCGCATTCATACCTTTTTGCTCAAGCATTGATTAAACGCTTATCTGAAGAACAAAATGGCTATCCACTAAGGAAATTGGCAAAAGAATTAGAAAAAGGTGTTTCTAATAACAAGTACATAGAATGTGTATTATTATTACTGCTGTATTTTTGTTATCCGACATCAATGATATACACACATATATATTCAATTTTATAGTACGGAACTTGTTGAAAACTTAAGAAACCTAATAGCGGCTCCACCGCTGCAAATTGCGACTTCTATTTTACGTATTCCACCGACTCCTGGAGATATAGTAGCTGTAAGTGCTATTTATCACTGAATATCCATCGAGATCGATGTTGTTACTTATTAACATTATTTTTAAGTTACACAGACAATATTCCGGCGAACCGTTACCTTCGCCTATATATTTGAGAGATCCACAGTTACTTTGTAAGAACAAAGTTCATGTTGAATGTTTAATTTTAATATTTCATTGCGTTTCCGCAGTTTAATATTTTTATTGCATTGTTTTCTTTACAGACTGGCTCTTAAATAATGCATTTGTACCATCAGATAAAACCATAAATATGAAACCGGACATTAAAGAGAAGTATCTATATCTTGCAGCTTATGCTGCTTCTGCCGAAGAACGAAATGATGGACAGGTGAGCCTTGTGTTTTCCTGTTGAATTACATAATTGTTCAATAGCTCGGTTTGTTGATATTGTTATAAGACAAATACAAAGACTAGCTTCAATAAATGAAAAATGAGATAACCATAGTTCATTGGTTGTACAATTTCCTATTGATTTATGATGTCCTTTACCCGTAGATAGACAACTCTAGAGTTAACACGACATTTGAAACACTCAAGAGACTCTCAGCTACCTTGTCGAAAAAGGGAGTTATAGGCCTTGAATTTAATGCTATCGTTCAAGATCTTTTGGTATATATTGAGTAAGGCACTTTATTGAAGATTTGTTTGTGTTTTTCGGTTTTAAGTTAAAGCTTTGATTTTAACATTGACTCAATGAATCTGACGTTTTTTAGTACGCCAATAGCATCAATGGCGACAATTTTCTGGATAAAATACATTTTACGTGAGACATCCTATTACGATAAGCATTTTAAAACTAATGAAGTACCGTTACCGCACTACATACTAGAAGAGGTATGGTTTTGAATTGTCATGCAAACAGCTTATACGTTATTATTACGTTTGAGCATCATCTTATTAATTGTTGAATAGATCGCCTTCCGACATCAATATCAACGATTTCACGTCTTTAATGCATACAAAGCGGAATTGGAGTCATCTAACAGGTTCACACCAGAAGTCATGGTTTGTTATGATACCCTAATATTATATAATATATATGTACTTGACTGCACGAACTAATATGTTTTTATTCTTAACAGACGGCCCTTCGGAAACAATTAATGGAACGTATGGCTTACCTTGTTCAGATTGGATTCGTAATGCAAGTAATGTCGTATATAGAAAAAAATCTCAGCAAGTTAGACGAAAAGTTGGTTACTATTTTTGCCAAGAAGGCAAGTCACAAAAATAAATATTATGAAAGAGCCAAATTAATTTTTATGAAGAAGTAATCCCTAAATACTTCAATATTCTTATTTATAGGTTATCTCTGCATGTGGACCACCTTACTCGGAGGAATTTTATATTTCAATGTTGAAATTAATTGAATACGCAAAGATTCAATTGGACTCTCAAATCGATACGCGACCAATGGTTGTGCAATTTTTTGGTAAGATTTAGGCATTATTATCACACTTCATATTATCTAAAATCTTTAACATCGTCTTTCTTATTTGCATACTTATTATAGCTGACTGTCCACCAACAATCAATAACAAATATCGTGAATATATAAATCATTTGTCGACTATTTTTGGTAATTAACTTTACCATCACAATTATCATCTAATTACACCTTACGACATGAATGCATTGCAATATAGGTTAATGAGATTTGAAGTTTTTTTTTCTATATGTTTCAACGTAGTTTATTTTTTTTTTGTCATGAAAGCTAGTCGGGTGTTATCATTGAACGTTTAACATATAGAGTTATATTTTACTTGCTTGTGAGTTGCAAATTATGTGTGGTAATTGGTAGCTTAGTAATCAAAAATATTAATAAAAAGATCGATAATACTATGTGGAAAAAATATATATATACACATCCAAATTGTTTGCCTATCCGATTATTCAGATTTAAGAATAGTTTTTTTATGATCAGTATTCTTACCATTATGTCTTCTCACAAAAGCGATAGGCAGTTGTAATACCTAAACTTATTTAAGTCATTGGCAAGATTCCGCTCATGTCTAATGTTGATGCTGATCCCCATTAATAAATTGCTCAACATCTTTCTTTTGCCACCTATTTTAACCTTGTGGCCAATACATCATCCGAGCCAGTAACTGGACGAATACTTTATTCAGGTTATTGCATACAGATTCGGGTAACGATTTTAGAACAGTCCAAAAAATATTCTATATATAAAATATTCGGACCATGAATTTTAATCCGTAATTTAGGTGAAGCACAATACTATAAAATTGAATAATAATAATAATTGAATCCCGTGAATAATCTCGAGATCAATCATCGATCAAGAATTACAAATAGTACTATATAATTTTTGGTGAAGTAGTTCTGAGAGCTTAAAAATTTTGGACTGCCTTTGAAAATGACTATACCAAATTTATTAATAGGCAAAAGGTATCTACAATTCTGTAACCATCAAATTTGAAGATGGGTTAACATTTAAGAGGACGCATCGACAATAATGCGATTGCTTTGATGAAATCTTTCACCTTAATGTGCAAATTTACAATCTTCACCATAGCGACAATAGCCTTTAACAAAAAAGCGGCAAGGAGTGGTGCTGCGAGGGTGAGTCAAAACTCCAAACTTCGGTATCGAAACTGGCGCACTTGTCTCATGAGAATATCTACAGCCTTCACTATAACGACAAATGCCACGTTGGAAAAAGCGGCAAAGATATTTTTCATCGTTTGCTTCAATGTCATCCATTTGTTCATGATTATTATTGGTTACATTATTGCTAATATCATTATTGATATTAATGGGTTCAGTTGCAGTTTCCTCCTGAAACAATTCTCCTTCATGCTCACGAAATGGTTTTTGCATCATGAAAAAAATGTTAATTTAGATTTTTAAATGTTTTCCATGTAAAGTAGGTACGGAAATAATTTTCTTTGAAAATATTCAGATATTTTCGTCAAAAGAAAAGGTGTGTATATATTTCTCAAAACACTTTTCTTCGTTTGGAAGGAGCGAAAAATTAGGTTCGTATCTTCGAACCTCTTAAAATCGATAAATATTGCCAAAAATTTTGACATTTTATATATTTTTTTTTTTCTCTAATTGTTATGGATCCTTACTTCCCTCGCTCCACAAAAAAACATTGTTGCAAATTATGATGAAATCATTTAAATGTCACAGTCACACGATATGTCACACGTATATATACAGTAATTATCATTATAATACATTTAACAACATAAAATTACTTTACCGGAGCTGAAACTCACCATAATCTTTGTTAAATTTGACTTTTTCTTTAATAGCTAATAACTTTTGATATACTGGTCCGTTTTTAATGAAACAACTACCAAAATGTTTGTCTCAATGAGACGATTTCAACAAGCCCAAAAGCATCAAAATCCAATCACTAGAACACGAGATTGGTAGAGTTTTTTTTTGCAGGTTGACGCATCTATAGGATGGGG